TTCCATTCCATGAATAAACCTCCAAAAATTATATACACAGCATCAGGGAAAATTACTAAAACTGCAATCGCTAAGTAAATCCCAAAAAATTCATCCATACAAAAGAAAACCCTAAATAATTCAATTCAAATCGGCATATAAACAAACATTTAACTTTGAAAAAAAAAAAAACCCAAAAAATAAGAATAATTGACAGAGGAACATACCAATATCGAACCGCTTTACAGCGGGCACACCTCGTGGGGGTGGGAGAATAGCAAACCGCACACTGTTGATAACCTGTGGAGACCGTAACAGCAGCACCGTAGCCAAGAGATGCCTCGAGCTCAGCCCTAGCAGCTTCCTCAGCAGCCAAAACCAAAAGCCTCTTAATCTCCTCCTTCCTAGCCACGGCGAGGCGCCATTTTCTCCTAATTACAAAGCTGATCACAGGGAGAACCAGAGACACCACAAGGACCAGGCTCGAAATCCCTAGATCCCCGACAGTATACATTTATCCTCCTCCACAAGTAGGCATCCAAAACAAGCAGCAAAATCTAAGCTCCAAAACTCACCACCACACATAGATTCAGCCGGACGTGACAGTAGTGAGGACGATTCCGGCGGTCGCACATGCAGAGAACAGAAGATCACGGCCGTCGATTGAACGAAATCCACTCCTAAACTGACGGTGATCGTGCTCCAAACAATGAAACCAAACGAGATTGGAATGCTGATATTGCTTTTTGTTAGCTAAAAGGGTAAAGTGAAGTTCGCGGATTTTCAGACGATTGAGATTTTCTGTTTGGGTCGAGGTTCTAGGCGTTAGGGCTATGATTTTCTCGGAGCAAGAAGCCGAGAGAAAAGACAAGAAAATTATAAATTTGAGTTAAATTGAGAATTCTCCGTAAACAATAAATGAGTGTTTTTCATCTTTTGTCTTTTTTTTTTTTGGTTTTTAATAGAGGTAATAAATATATTTTTATATTATAAATTTATATTAAAAATATAAAATTTAATTTTTAATTAATTAATTAAAATTTTATATAAATATAATATATAAAATTTATATATAAATAAATATTTATTCTAAAATAACTTACCGTCAACAAACATGCTATCTCTATTTTCGAATAGGTAGTAATGTTGAAAATAATAATGGTCTCGAAGTCAGACGTTTTAAGTGGTAGTAGATAGGTAGAGAAGTTAATTAATTAATGCATGCAAGTCTCAAAGTCAACGTTTTAAGCCTTAAGGGTAGAAGAGGTAGAGAAGTTAATTATGCAATTTTCTCCATCACAAAGCTGGTCCACAGCGTGTACTTATCCATTGTTGCGTACTGAAAATGCTTTTCTACAGTTCAGCTTATCAAGAGAAGAGAGATAGGATAAAGTTCACGGGGCAGAAGAAACTAAAAACCTTTTTCACTAAGAGAAGAAAAGAAAAATGAAAATTGATGTTGAAACTAAAGTTCAAAGGCATGCATGCATGTGCTGGGCAGGAATGACCCTTAATTTGTAGGCTTCAATGTCGGCTTCAATGTCGGCCAAATATATATACAGAGAATAGATGTATATATATATTATATTTATATAATATATTAATTATTATTTTTTTAATATTTAAGATTTATCATAATTTTTAAATAAAAATAATAATTTCATTTAATAAATATAAATAAAATTCAACCATTAAGAATAAAAAAAATTAAAATCTTATATAAATATAATAAACAAATTTATATAAAAATAAAAATTCCTTTTATACCTATATACATTTATAAATAGAACCCAACATGCTTGAACTTTTTTGACTCTTAATCTGTCAAAATCCACAATTTTTTTTATAGCATGATAAGATATTGGAACCCAATCTTCTAGTTAAGAAATATACACTTCATTAACTGAATTATAAGCTCAAATATAAAATATTCCACAAAGAAATTATTAAGTAGTAATTAAGAATATGCAAGGAGGAAATAAGTCAATCAAACGAACCCTAGAAGGTCAGTTGGTTAAAAGCCTTGTGCGGTTCTCCTCGATCAGAGGTGCTGCGTTCAATCCCCCTATTCTAAATTTATACCTGTTCTCATAAAATAAAATAAATCCAACGAGTGTCAAACGAACTCAAACCTACTCCTCGGCCCTTTGTCTGTGAGACGGTCATAGCCCATTTAGGGTTTAGTTATGGAAAATGGTTTAGACTTCGACTTGTCAATACCTTAGAAAGACTTCTTCTATATAGTTTTTTATTTAAAAATATAAAATTTTTAACATTTTTATTTATTTTAATTAGTTTTTATATAATTTTGTTAATTTAAATTAATATTTTATATATTTTTATGGTTGTAAAAAAGCAAAAAATAAAATTACAATTGTAGCCACATTGGAATATGGCACATCATTGAAAAACAAAGCTTAACGAGAGATAACTTTTTTTATATAATTTTGTTAATTTAAATTAATATTTTATATATTTTTATGATTGTAAAAAAGCAAAAAATAAAATTACAATTATAGCCACATTGGAATATGGCACATTGAAAAACAAAACTTAAAGAGATAACTTTTTATATATAATTTTTTTATACATCTTTATATTTGTTATTTAATAATTAATATTTTTTATTTTATTGAGATTTATAATATGATATTTTCTTATAAAATAATATATAAAAATTAAAAATAAAAATTGTACAAATAAATTATCTACGTATGGTTACTTTTGTCCGTCTACTTATTAATTATTCAACCACACAGCTAGGTGGGCAGGCATGCATATATTTCCATAAAATTAGTTGCAAACACAACCCACAAATTTTGACTTTGTATCTCTATTTATACAACCCACCGTAGAGAAAGCCCAGCTTTTTGAATCTTATGAATTGTTGTCAGATAGAGTGCTTGGCTCTGGCATGTCCTCCCCATATACCCACATTTTCAAGGTGTGTGAAGTTTATATTAGTTACTTGAAGGGGAAAAAGTTCATATTATTTTGACGAAGCAAAAAGCTGTCGCTTGCGTCAAGCTTTTGACCCAATTACAGGCCACCTAACATAATAATCTTTGATTAGGTAGTGAAATGAATTCGTGCTTTTGAAAATGAATCGATGACCCAAGTACAATTCAACACCTTTTTTTTCTGTGTCACGTGGTCTCGTTCTTTCGCAAACTCCCTAAATTCTTTATCTAACAACTTGAACACAAAGCCTTTAACGGTCTAACTTTGAAGCCTCACATTCAAATGGTTGAATTGTTTCCTAATTAGCAAATGCAAGACATTCATCACAAGATTCATAATCAATATTGTAATTAAGATAATTTTTCAGTTACTAGCTAAATAAAGTGGTCTAGCTATAAAAGAAAAGGTTTTTTTTCTAACTTATTGTACTTTTTCATTCACTAATAAAATGTGAAAATGATATAATAATTATATCATTAACATGTACTTAAGGTTACATATTAAAAAAACTTAAAAAAATTTAAGTTTTTCTTATTTTAATATGAAAAAATGAAAATTCTATCAATAGCAATGGTATAATAATTTTAATGTCATATAAGATTAGGAGTGGCAAAAATCCATCCGATTTGTTACCTCAATTCATTAAATTAATCCTAACTCAACCTATAAAAATAAGTTAGGATTTACATATCTCAACTCGCAATCTGTAAATAACCCGTAATATCAACATGTACGAGTTACGGGTTAGGTTAAAGTCAACCCGTAGGGTAATAGGTTGACCCATTTATTTTATTTTTTATTATTATTTATAAAAATATTATACTTATTATTCTTAATTAATTTTCCTATTAGTAACTCTCTTTCATTGATTCATACTCTTCAACCTCGTTTCCATTATTCAAATAGTTTTGAACTTATTTAAGTGTTTACTCATTATAATTTCTTCTTCCTTCTTTAAAAATTATATAGATTTGATCTAATTATCAAGTATCATGAATTAAATGATAATGCAACTAAAAATATTAAAGATGTGATGCTATAATATAAACATAATAATTCAACGAAAGATATTCTTGAAGAGCAATTTCAGTGTAAAAAAAAAAAGGCTTAAATTCCTTGATAATATTTTAAAATGATTATAAAATTAAAACTTAATTTTTCAAGAAATTTAAATATTTTAAGTTTAATATTATTTATCAACTTACTATTATTTATAACTTTATGATTTTGTCTTAATTTAAATATTTGTAGTTGAAACTATAAAATGTTTAGTGTGAATGAGTTATAATAATTTAATTAGATTTAAATATATAATTTTATTTGTATATAATAAAATAATTATAAATAATGAAAATAAGATCAACTTGCGAGTTAATTCGTAATTTGTTAGGATCAAGTTAAAGTTGGACTTTTTTAACTCACAACCGTTTACGAATTAACCTGTATAACCTATCACCTGTGTTGACCCAACTCAAATCTGACTCGATCTGCCCGTTTACCAAGCCTAATAAGATTATAAATTTATAATTCTAATATGTTATTACATGAATAAATACATATAATATTACAAGTAAATATCAAAAT